TCTTTTATTAATTTCATTTTTTTTTTCATTTTTTTTCAAAAGAGCAAAAATATTATAAAAGGGATAAAACCCTAAAAAAAATTAATTTGATCTTATGGACTTTGTGTTACTATTCCTTGCTTGAGGAGCATTTTGGACTTTGGACCTTAAGACTTAGTGTTTTCCCTTTTCTTAGAGTAATATCTGAGACTTAGTGGTATCTAAGACTTTGTGATTCATCTGAGACTTAATGATTCATCTGGACCATTGTGATCTTCGTTTCAAGACTTGAATGTCCTTTGTGGCTTTATGAATTGGTTGTTCATCTGGATCTTTTGATATTCATCTATTCACGTGCTTGTTCATCTTAATGCTCAATCCAAAGGGAAATGAATGCTTGTTTTGACCAATGTCAAATGCTTGCTCCATCTTGTGGTTAGTACACTTGCACACACAAAGGCTTCTTACTTCATACTTTAGGATAGTCTCTTCTTCTCCTTCCCACTTCTTAAATTTTCAAAACTTCTCCATATTTCAAAAAAAATTGTATTCAAATTTCACACCCTATTTCTTAATAAACCTTGAATTTTGAAAATATTTTTCTTAATAAATGGTTAAACACTTAAGCATATTCAAACTCTTTTCAAAATCTCTAAAAAGACAAACCTCATCAAACTTATTTTTGTGCCTTTTTTCACTTTTCTTTAAGAGCCTTTTTTTGAAATATTGGATATTATTCTATTCTTGTAGTGATGCAAACCACTATACTTCTACAATATCCTGAGAAATGATTGACATTTTCCAGTTGAATGTTAAGACACGCTTGTGAGAAAGTCAAAGTAAAATTTCTCCATATCAAGATGATGCAAATGCTTATTTCCTCATACTTGTGAGTAGTAAGTTGAGTTTTCCACTTGAATAATATAAAATGTCTTCTCAAATTAAAATCAATCAGCAAACAACCCATCTTTTTTTATAAACATAAATTTGCAAGTGGTTCTTATGGATTACCATAGATGTGAGGGGTGCTAATACCCTCCCCTTGCATAACTAACCCCCGTATCCATATTCTCTCTTTTTGTTTTTGCTTTTGTGGGTTTTGTTCGACCTTTTCTCTTTTCTTTTTGAAAACAATAAAGTTCAATGGCGACTCTTGCTTTTCGATTTACATTAATCAATAGCTTAATCTCTATTTTTCCCTCTGCGACAATTGGAGACTCTGCTGGGGAGTAGTTCTTAAGAGGGTTAAGCCTAGCTTGTTAATTTGTGTTTATGTTATTGCTTTTGTTTGTTATTTTTGTTTTTGGATGCTTGGTGATTTCTGTGTGGTGAGATAAGTCCCCTACTCGGACTTAAGTGCACTTAAGCTAAGATGGTGGTATAGTAATGTTGACCTTATGGGCGTTAAGCCTCGTTAGGTTTTCATGAGAACCCCGCTCAAATGAGGCCCCTTTGGAGGTACTAATGTCTTACGAGTAATCGTAATGGCGTTATTATTTTCGACCTGGGAGTCTGGGATTCTGAGAAACCTTTAGAATAATTTTAACTCTCATGGCCTTTTAGGATGTAGTGTGGTGACCTTCTTGGCGTAGGCCTGGTATAATTGTTACACGATACTACACTCAGACGAGATTTTCTTGAGATTATTATTGGTATACAAGCAAGTCATTAAACTAGTAATATTAGAAAGATGAATTTATGACTCTGGAAACTTTTTTAGAACCTGGTTACTGTTCAAGACATCCAAAGCTATAAAACATACCATGTGGGATGGTTGTTACCCTATCCACCTGGCTCCATGCTTGTGACATTGAACCTTTGAACCCACTATGTTTGTGATTGTTGCATAATCATGCATTCATAAACATCTCATTTTCACCTGGTTTTCAAGGAACTTAGGAACTCTATTTTTGCAAGTATCATAGGTAATTTACGCATGGGTTTTGGTAGTTTTAACTTCTTAGCTACTCATACAGTAGAAACTCTTTAAATTAATACTCGATAAATTAATAAACTCTCTAAAATAATAAATTTGTCCGGTCCCGATTTGGGCCAATGTAAAAAATTGAAAAACTCGATAAAATAATAAGATAATAATTTTTCGGGAGATCCCTTTATAATTTTCGGTCCCAAGAAAATCATAAATTAATAATTCATAGAAACTGGAAAAAAATATATTACACTCTATTGAAATATGATTCAATAGTTGTCTGTTTTCCTTTAAAGTTTAAGTCTATTTAGAGCTCATCTCTAACTTTTCTTATTGCGTCCAATAGCTCAGGTGTTGTATTTTTGTATTGTATCATAAATTTGTGAAGAGTGTTCGATGCCATAAGTGCTTCCTTTCGCGTAACAGGCTCCAAAGACACCATATCATCTTCGTCGTCATCCTCTGCATTGTTCTCAATGATAGTACCTCCAAACATGCTTCATTTTCACCTGGATAGTTCATTAGATTGTCGATATCCATCTTATTACGATAGCCACATTGATTGATCATAGTCTCGAGGTCTTGAGTTTCTTCATCAAAAGTGGATTCATCTAAATTTCTTGCAACGACACTAGCTGAACGAATTTTACAATGTCGGAAGCAATTCGTTATTGTTTCTTTTCGAACATCTATCGTCCAAGCTGGGATTGCCAAATTGATAGCATTAAAGACATTTATCTTCCGTGGATCAGATTGTCCCACCTCATAACCTTCCAATATTTTGCGGTAAAACCTTCTACGGTAATGCATCTTGAAAGCTCTTATTATCCCAGCATTGCAAGGTTGAATCTTTGATGTCATGTTGGGTGGCAAGAAGAACAACTCAATGTTTCTTAGCCCTTCAATATTTCTTGGATGTGCTGGACAATTATCCACCACAAGTAGAACTCTTTTACCATGCATCATTTGGTCAAATGAACGAACATATTCATCAAAAAGCACACTAGTCATCCATGCTTTTTTGTTAGCTCGATACTGACAATCCAAGCTATTCATGTTGACATTCTTGAAGCAACGAGGCTTTGCATATTTCCCAATAATCCATAGAGGGATTTTTTCAGAGCCATCTTCATTGCAACAAATAACTATCGTTAACCTTTCTTTATCTTGTTTTCTTCCTTCAAGTTGTTTTGTTGCCAGTGAATGATCAGCTTGTAACTTATAAAACAACTCAGTTTCATCCATATTGAAAACATATTTCATAGGGAACTGATCAATTTTCTCCCAAATCGATACCAATTTCTGCTCCATGTCTTGTACATCAACAGACCCACTCTCCCAAAACGACGAAATGACTTTATGCCATGTCAGTTCTTGAATTTCCCAAGCCATCCTATAGAGAAATTAAAATATGAATCATCATGAGGGTACACGAGTTTCATTGTATCTCTTGCCTTCTGCAAAATTAATTCTCCTGTGATATTCACATGTTCTTGATGCTGGAGAAACCACTCCTAAACAACCTTCTCCATGTTAGGATATTTTGCTGGGTTGTGTCTTTTGATCTCTGCTCTTCCCTTTTCTATTTCAGCAGAAAGATAGTCATCTAATCGTTTAAGTGTGTTTGATATTGTTCCTTGACTAACTTTCAACTTAAATTTTCCCTTAAGCAATCTCTGCAAGTCTTTTTGTGTGCTTGCAGGATTATCTTTCTTGTACTCACACAACTCCTTACGTATTTGATCTGACATAGTTGATTTTGCAACACCTTTTAGATGAGAAGCCATTTTGTGAGATATGTTTTGAATACTCTAACACATTCATGTAATTTATATATGGCAAACTTGCTTAAGAATACATTGAACACATTTGTTCCTCTTGTTTACATTTATTGTACTTCAAAAGTCATTGTTGATTTTCAATGCATATGAACACAATAGTTACTAATTTACGTTGAGTCCCAAGGTTCACTGCAACGTAATTCTAAGAGGCATAGACTAATTTGCCTTTTTGTTTGGTATGTACGGTATAATTACTTAAAAAATCTTTAAATTAATAATTATTAATTTATCGATAAATTAATAACTCTCTAAATTAATAAATTTCTCCGATTCAGACATTATTAATTTAAAAAATTTCTACTGTATTTATAAGAAAGGTAATCACTGTGCTGATAAGTTTGCTAATTTAGGTTTAGACATCTCTAAATTCACTTGGTGGAATGATGTTTTTATTGATATTCAACCAAACTTTTTTAGAAGCTAGTTAGGAATGTCAAATGTTAGAATAAGATAGGTTTGAGGTTTCACCTCTATCCCCTCATTTTTGTACCTACTTCTTTTTTAATATATATTTTAAGCTAATGCTCATTTTATAAATAAAAAAACTAACTTTCACTATTATTTCTCTCTATTTTATTTTTTTATGCATATTATTAACTTTTACTCTTTTATATTTATTTTTTTAAGTATAAATTATTATTATTATTATTATTATTATTATTATTATTATTATTGTCAACCTAATGTAAAATTTCTTTAAAAAGTTCTGTCATAATTATTTTGACCAAATATATTTAGTTTTCAATTTTTTTTATTATAATCCAATTTAATTTATTTTTAATTAATGAATATATATCAAAAATTGTTTAAATAAGTAATTAATTATTATTTAAACTATTGCAATTTTATATTAAGATCAATTATTTTTACTTGCATCGCAAGGGTCAATACTAATTGTAATAGAAGAGACTAACGTAAAGGGAACGCTTAACAACAAAATCCTCAGACTATCCGGCAAAAAACAACAACGCAATACAAAAATCTCATTGGTCAACAAATTCATAACAGGTCCCACCTTCATCCGCCTCATCACTCACACCTTTTTTAAAACCCCACCGACCAAACCCCCCACGTTTTCTTAAACACCAATCCAATCGATTCCCGAACATTAACGGAATATTCCAAACCCCGTCATTCCCACTTAACCTACAGTAAATACACCCCTCACGTCACGTCAACTAACGCCCCTCTCCTTCACCAAAGAGTTCTTATTTCTTCATCTTTCCCTTTCCTTCCTCTCATTTTCCACAATGACGATTCCTCTCTTAAAACTCTTCCTTCTATTTTCTCTCTTCGCAATTTCCTTCTCCCACGAACCTCAAAACCTCCACGTCTTCCCGAGACCGTTGATTGTAGAATACTCCGAACTCGACGACGACGTGAAGCTGAGATGCACCAGTTGGAGATTCGCCGGCGAAGCGAATAATCTGAGTCCGTGGAAAACGGTGCCGAAAGAATGTGCGGAACAAGTGAAGGAGTACATGACGGGAAAAGGATATGTTTATGACCTGGAAATTGCGTCTAAGGAAGCTGGTGAATTTGCTAGGAGTGTTCAACTACAAGATGATGGATTCGATGCGTGGGTTTTCGATATTGATGAAACTTTGCTCTCTAATTTGCCTTATTATGCTGCACATGGTTACGGGTAATGATAACTTCGCAACACTTTATGATTTTTATTTTTATTTTTTATATATTGCTTGTGTTTGATGGGTTTTCGATAAATTAGGAGCTTAATTGAATCAGTTACGCTTTCTAGAATGACTTAGTCTTCGTTAGAACAACAGTCAATCTCTAAGATTAAATAGAAAGGGAAGTAAAAGACAATAAGTCAATAACCATAATTCATCCTTATTAATGCATTTTGGTCAATGATGCCTACAGTTACCTACCCATTATAATTTTTTGCAATTTTTGCAATATGAGTCGTACTCAACAATATCATAATTATTTCTGTAACCAAATAATACTCATAATTGTTGGGGTCAATTCGGGATTTAACATGAGAACAAGATCAACACACTAGAGAGAGACTCCCATTTTTCTTGGGCATTTCGAAAGATCTCTTCATAGACATTTTGATTTTAACAAGACACCTCTTTTTGGGCATTTCGTAAGCCTCTTTTTGGACATTTGGGCATTTCGTAAGCCGGTCCTCATTACTCAAACCAAAAGGTCATAATACCATTTGTTAGGTCATGAGGAGGAGCATCAAGGCTTTTGGTGAATATGTGTTTTCGTGTCTTCGTGTTGATCCCGTGAATTAACTCCAACAAATGGTATCAAACCCTAGTTATAAATGTAGAGACTTGGCATTTTAAATGGGAGAACTCACACGTTTACAAAATGCTCAAGTCTCCAAATTTTTATAACCAATATAAGATTCCAACTCACGACTTATTATTTTCAACAAGAATAATCTCCACAATATAAGGCATGCTTTAACAGTTTTCCAATAATTTCAAATATTTTTCTTTCCTTCTCGTATTAAGGCCTTATTATACATGCTTGCAGGTTGGAGGTTTTTGACCATAAAAAGTTTGATGATTGGGTAGAGAAGGGGGTAGCCCCAGCCTTAGAACCCAGTTTAAAACTCTATGAAGATGTTTTGAATATGGGGTATAAGGTCATTCTACTTACAGGGCGGAGTGAACTACATAGGGATGTTACCGTTGATAATTTGATAAATGCTGGATTTCGGGATTGGCACCAGCTCATATTAAGGTAATTCCTACAATTTTTTTAACTTCAGCTCTGCAAATGAAAGTCTATTATATGTTAAATGCTCAGTGATTTGAATGCATGTGTAATGCATTTGTGATTTAGATAAATTCTATTATTATGTGTTTAAACAAAATCGTTTACATATATTGTGCAGATTTTATCAGTCCTTTTCCATTCTTATTGCTATTACCTTTTATCAATTTTGTTGTTGTAAAATCTTTAGTTGTTGGAAGATTTGGTGTGTTTCCGTAAATAATAATAACCTGAAATAGTGACACAAATCTTACCATTTCCCTTAGGTTTGAATGGAACCTTTAACTGTAAATATAATGATTTCTGTCAACTGTTAACGTATTCCTAGTAAGCTTAATGCTATTTTCAGAAAAGATATATTATAAATAGATATAAAAGCAATGTTCGGTGGCCCATAACTTTGAAGAAAGGTAAATTCTGTTTTGGTTCATCATAGGAGGAGCTTGGAAAAGATACATCGACTCTGCATCCTCCACTTTTTGTTGGGCTGCAGCATGCTTACCTGAAACCTTTTTGGTACTAGGTTTCAAAAATTTAGAAAAATTTTACCACATTTTACCATTTAATCTTTTGTGAGGATAAAATTCCTTTAGTAAGTTTATTATTTGCAATGGTTAATAAACAAAGTAAACTTATAGGCAAAATAAAGCAGGATGATCAATGAATAGAACTAAAAGAAATTGAAGAGAGTGAGAGTCCAGTAATGTAAGACTAGCAATGATGAAAAAGATTTGAAGTTAATATCTTGAATCTATCTTCCCAGATGATGCTTTGATACGCATTTTCAAATTTCCCTCTTAAATAGTTTTACACCAGTCCCTTTTGGATGAATAAGCTTGAAAACTGAGATAGTATCTAAATATAATGTTAGAGGACAGAATGCCGAAGCAACATGTACTTAGTCTTTACTTTTGGAGGAATCGTGTAAGCACCCTTTGATCCACCCTCCAGTTCCGCGATATCAAGCTACAATAGGCTAATACGTGGGAGTCCAAAGATGATGCTCACCATGATAAGGCTGGTTCTTGTAGTCTACCTATTGTAAACTGTCTAAGTAGCAAGTAAATTTTGTGTGCTAAAATAATTGCAACAATTACATGCTTTTATGCTGTTATGTCTTTAGACATTTTGTCTGCTCTGTATGCATTAGTCGAAGTGCAGAACTTATGTATTGTATTTCGCACCCTGATGCTATATTGCTGTCTATTTTATGCTGATTTTTCTCAATCTGTCATGTTAAATTGTTCAGATCCTCAGATGATAAAGGGAAACTAGCTGTAGTTTACAAATCAGATAAGAGGAATGAGATGGAGAAAGACGGATACAGGATTCTTGGAAATTCTGGTGATCAGTGGAGTGATTTATTAGGTTCTTCAGTATCTGTTAGGTCCTTCAAACTTCCAAATCCAATGTATTACATTGCTTAGTAATGCTTATTTATTTGCAAATAATCACTTTCAAGAATTCTGTGCTGTACATAAATGGAAGTTACCCCAATTCTTAATTCTTACTACGATATTGAACATGCCATTGAAACTCCAATATTGATTGCAGATTCATTATACTTTCCTAGTTCTAAACTTGTAATTGTCGGCACCAAAAAAATACTTGTATACTTTATGTTTCTATTAGAATGGTACTCAAGTATTTTTTCTTTCTTTCTATTTCATGTTAAGAGTGAATATATTTCGTTCCGTTAAGGCAATTCAGTTGATAGTTGTATATGGATATTGAATATAAGGGCGCGGGTTCACTCGAACTCGTAACATCTCACTTATTTATCTTTAATAAGGTGAATTCCAGCCATTAAGCTACTTAATCAAATAAAAAAAGTAAATATATTTACTAGTCTTCTTATTATTATATTGGATTGTTTTATAGAACTAATCGGAAAAAACTTCTCAGAAATCGAAGACTATGGCACAAACGAGTCAAATTGATATCTTATTTGAAAAAAAATTGGGTGTTTAAACAATACCTATTTTATCGATTTTTCCTATGATCCTAAATCTTTTACTTTCATCTCTAAATCTTTATATACTTCTTACTCAATCAAATCAAAACTTTACAAGTTTGTTTTTAAAACAACTCAAAATTTGGGAGAATCTTTAAAGCATTGTATATACAGCTAGAAACACAAACAAACACATATATGCGATAAAAAGTAAAAAGGAAAACATCCACATACTTAAATCGAACATTGTCCCCAATGTTCTATAATAAGGAAGAAGAGGTTGAAGAGTAAAGTCACATAGCACCTATCGGAAGAGGCAGAAAATGCTGCATATGAGAGAATTGGAAAAATTATTTTATTTTTCCCTTCTTCTCTTGAGTTTTCCTTCCTTATTAAAACAAACATTCAAAATGAAACAACACGAAACAAACTTGCAATAAAAACCGGGTTGCCTCACACGAAGCACTTTGCTCAACATTGTTTACCTCGACGATTCATGAGTGCAAGCAATTATGATGGTTCCTTCAAAGATGGTTCTTCAACCTTAAGCTCAGTGGCCTTATGGTCCATGCCCGCCTATCAATCCATATCTCATATTTACTATTTATCTTTTTCTTCCTTCTATGGGGGTGGTTCATACTTCTTAACCGTGGGGTGATTTTTGTTTTACCTTAAGTATCAGTTTTTCGGGTTTTGCTTCATCATAATTTTTCTTCGAGATGGTTCATACTTATTAATCTGGGGTGGCTTTGCTTCATCATAAGTTTTAATCTCATCAACTAAGTAGCAAGAAACCTTTGTATAAGGGTCTTTCAAGAGACTTGTCTTTATGAATTTAATCCTCTCATTTCCTAGCACAAAAGTTAATCTCCCTTATTAACATCAATAATTGCGCCAACACTGCGTAAAAAAGGCCTACCGTAATGATAAGTACTTGGGAATCTTTCTCAATGTCTGTGATAATAAATTCGATTGGTATATAGAGACGTCCTACTTTTACGAGCGCATCTTCTAACACAGTGATCGAGTACTTAACTGATTTGTTTGTGAGCTGTAGAGAAACATTTATGGGTTTCATATCACCTAATCCTAACATCTTGCACACGGATAGGGGCACCAGGTTAACGTTGGCTCCTAAATCAGATAGTTCTCTATCAAACTCCATAGGGCCAAGCTGATAGGGAATAGAAAAATATTCCCAGATCCTTCAATTTAGGTGGCATACTTTGGATCACATCACTACTCGTTGAAGTCTTAGCCAGGATTTCATGTTCCTCTAATTCTATCTTTTTATATAGGATTTCCTTTAAGAACTTAGCATATGTGAGATTTTCTTAGAGAACTTCGGTGAAAGGCACATTGACGTAGAGCTTTTTTCATTATCTCTACAAATTTCATAAATTGAGCCTCTACCTTAGCCTTCTCAAACCTTTACAGAAATGGAATTTTTGGCTTGTATGGAAGAGGAAAAACATAAGGTGTTTCCTTCTCTTCCTCTTAAACAACCAAAATTTCCAATGGGGTGGGCAGACTCTCCTTATCCTCTAATTTTTTCTCTTTTGAACTCTTAACTTGTTTACTTTTATTCTCAAAACTCTCAACTTATTTTCCACTTCTACTTACCATAACATTCATTTGTCCCTTGGGATTTTGCCCGAGATGACCCGGAAAAGATCATTGAGGGACTATTGATGAAGATTGTTGCTATGCAACTTGGGAGATCTGTGTCTCCAACATTTTATTATGAGTGGAAATGGATTTAAGCTTTTGTGGTTAGCTGCATAAGAACCTCATTTGTGTGGAGGTTTTGGTTTCTGAATTCTTCATTCTGGCGAGATTGCATCCCCTCGAAACTTTCCATCATAGTTTCAAAGTTAGACATCCTAGGGGTTGCGCCTTGTTGGAAACCTAAGGGTCGCGTAGCGTTAAGGAGCTAATTATTCTTATAATAGAAGTTGGGGTGATCTCTCCACCTTAGATTATAGGTGTTTGAATATGGATTTCATCGCCAATTGTTAACATCAGTAACACTGTCTTGGGTGGACCCTTCAACAAGGATCATCTTATAGTTACCAGTGGAATGTTTATTTAACCCGCATACCTCAAAGTAGAGGACCAACAATGTGGAAGAAGCTATAACATCTACAGGCATGGGCACAAATGGTGTTATGCTAAAGTTTTCAATTTTTTTGGTAGAGTGTGTCTACCTTTGCGTTCATGTGATCGAAAAGACTTACTTCATAAAGCCCACCCTTTTGAGGGGCCTTATCATTTTTTATTAGGCGGTTCCCCATGAATGGTAATTTTTTTTCCCATGTCCTCGATCAAGTGATAAGCCACATTTTATGGGTTATTCATGTGCACGCCACCGGCAGCCACATCTAAAGTCATCCTCATGGAATAAATAAGACCATTATAAAGTGTGTGTACTATTAGCCATTTTCTAACCTATAGAACAGGAGCAGTTGATAACGTAAAAATGTATCGTGTATTTCGACACGACTCGCATGCTATTTTATGTCATTTTGTCATGTTTTATTAGTATTATGTCTTATTTTGGTTACATTTCAGGAACTATTCGATTATGGAGTGTCTATGCAAATAAATCATAAGAGGAGCAAGAAGAGGAGGAAAATGCAGAGAAATCCAAGTTTTTGGTGCATGGCATTCACCATTACCTAATGGTGTTTGCCATTGCATCCAACTACGTCACCTTATCCACTTAAAGCTCATGGTGAACGCCATGAGCCTAATGGCGATCTCCATTCAGGTGCAGAGGCATAATACGTGAAAGCCCAAACTGACTCACTCTTCCTTACTTCCCTACATTGTCTCAACCTATTCTACACGTTAGGAGATGGTTTTGAAGCACCAAACCTCTATATAAGTGATAGTTTTCTTATTTTTTAGCATCTAAGAATTGCGCGGAAGCTCTGCAATGTTTAGTTTTAAGCACAAATTTACATTTCAAAGTTATAATCACTCACGTTGAGAGATTATCACAACTTTAGTATTAAGTTTTTGTACTCTTGGATCGCAAGCCTGCCGACATAATCAAAATTATTTTCGTTCGTGTTATTTCAAGTTTTCCCGCATTTTCATGTTCTACAGGTTTTTATATATTGCTTATTGTTCTTGTTTATCGCATTGTTTATCATGCTGTTTTTATCTTCCATTACCATGATTAATTTGTTTAAGTTTAATTCCATGTCTATCTAAACGCATTTGAGTCTGGTATGTGAGGACCGTCGTTTTCGACGGGACTTGGTAATGAAATTCGACGTAAAACTTTATTAAATTCTTTTTTGACTTTAGTTTCCAAGTTTAATTCAAATGGTTTTGTCACGAGAATGAAAAGAAAATAAATATCCGAGTCGATAGCGCGAGAGTGTGAGAATTGGACCGGATAGTGGGAACTGGACGTTGATCCTAAATACAGCGAGAGCGCTTTATGTGTCAATTAGGATCTAATTAGTTTTCAAAATATGCTTCTTAATTAAAACGGGCGAGCGAGAGCAAAATCTCATGGTTAGGAAGTGTGCCTTTAATCAATAGCTTGAGAGTGTGAGATAGTCTTTAAACTAGTATTTTCTACTGAATGCAATTTAACCATAAATTAACACCAATGATTTACAGAGTCCCTGAGGTAAAAGAAATCCATATTCCGACGTCTCTTTCTTGATACATTTCTTAATCTTTAATTTAGTTTTCATTTTAATTTCGTCCAAACAAAGTAATCACTAGCCTTAGCTTTACATAGTACCAACTGAATAATATTAGATTGATCATTATTCCTTGTGGGTTTGATATCTTTTAAAACTACGCGACAGACTGTATACTTGCAATTAGACAATCTGATAGACCCGTAAAGTCGCGATCAAGTTTTTGGCGCTGTTGCCAAAGACTAATTTAGTCAATATTGTGATTCCGTTGTTGCACAATATAGACTAAGGCAACATATTTTTTCCCTTAATTCGTCGATTTTATACCAAGCACTCGCTCTTAAGGTGAAGAGTTAGAGCAACCAATTGACGATATCAAGCGTTTTATTAATCTAAGACGCTAAATCAATGAATTCCGAATAAAATATAATCTTCTTGGTCCTATCATTCCTTTTCCAGAAATATAATCACTTATGGATGAAAATCCACAGAACCGTCCTCTTAAGGGAGTTTTCTAATCTAATGCAGGGAGAATTCGAGATGAGTATGATGGGGGAGCTCACATATTTTCTCGGATTACAAATCAAGCAGCTTGAGGAAGGAACTTTTGCGAGCCAGACGAAATATTGTCTTGAGCTTCTCAAGCGGTTTGACATGGCAAACTCCAAAGCCATTGACACACCAATGCCAACATGTGAAAATCCCAGTCGAGATGAAAGTGGTAAGGATGTAGAGGTAAAAAGATATCGAGGTATGACCGGCTCTCTTCTGTATCTTACTGTTTGTAGACCCGATATTATGTTTAGTGTAT